GATTACCCTGCCTCTCTTGGGGAGACTCGTGCCCATGTTGTGTGAACAACTCTGCACGAGCACCTAAGGAGGCTTACCTCCTTACCAGCCCGTGGTGGCGCGTACGTGTCTCTACTGAGATGTACGAAGGGATTGACAACCTGAAATCCCTTTACGACCGTGCCGGGAAGACTTTCTCCGGCGGTCCTTCTGCGGCACAGGATGTGTCGCGTCGTACTGCTCGACCAGACCCAGTACGTCAACCATCAATTGGGAGCGGGGCTCCCAAGAATCCCAGGACGGGGGATAGCCGCGCCACCGGACGAGGTAACTCGTCCGACGTCCGTTCACGTCGCGGTGGTTCAACAGCTGCTCAACTAGATAGCGCTGGCCACCGCGAGAGTCCTCTAATGGAGGTGGAGGAGGAGGAAAGACGCTCTCCACACGATCATGTGGATCGGTGTGTTCCCGAGAGCTTCTTTGATCGCGTAACGCAAGGGTTACGCGACGATCTCGAGCATGAGCGGAATAGGCGTCTCCAGATGGTGGACACTGCCTCGAAGCATCGAGCTGAGTTTGCCTTTGCTCAGCTTGAGAACGAGAGATCTCTGACATCTCTTCGTGACGAGCTAAGGGTAGCTCGTGGGATTGTTGATCGGTCTCGGGCTGAGATAACTGCTCTTCAGACCCTTGTTGATGCCCACCATCGGGAGCACAAGGCTCTCTGCGAGATGCTTGAGCGCAAGGGCGTTCTTCATCGGAAGAAGCAGCGTACTGATGGTACGGCTTAAGCCGACCAACGTAAAACGTGGGATGCGTTCGCATCTTACGTGGTAACTCGATCGTGTATGCATTGCCTAGGCGGTGCAATACACGAAATGGGCCAATGTACTTGGGTAGTAGTTTACTGCTACCCAAGTTAGTCACTACATGCTTTGGTAGATTAACCGTAGACAGTAGGACTAAGTCACCTTTATTAAATAAAAGAGTGTTTGCCCTTCCATTCTTGTCAGCGTTTTGCTTTTGCTTATCCACCGCTTCGGCGATGGAGTCTTGCACAAAACGGACTACCGTTTCACGAGCCAGTATGAACTCATCTGATGACTCGTTAGCTTCAGTGTGCTGTGAGCGCACTGCAGCGACAACAACCTTTTCTTCAGTGAGGGCTTCCGCACTCTCACTGGGATCATTGTCTTCAGTGAGGGCTTCCGCACTCTCACTGGCATCATCTTCTTCGATATCGATGTTATCGATATCGGCATCAAACGCAATGACTTCTTCGTCAGAGCGTGATGAGCGTGAACCAAATCGGTTTTTGCTCGCGCGAGTCCCTCCCCCCTTAAACCAGAGTTACACTCTAGTAAGGTGGGTACACGCGGATGGCGCAAGCCATTCACGTAAAACGGTGTATGTGTCGTGGACGCATGCACCGAGTTGTTGATGGCAAACTCTACCATCGGCAAAAACTCACTCCAACTCTTAAAGGAGTGTACGTATCCCCGAAGTATCTCTTCAAGGACACGATTGGCACGTTCCGTCTGACCATCTGACTCTGGATGATCAGATGTTGACATCTTCAAGCGCGTTCCGAGTGATTTGAACACGGAACGCCAGAAATCAGCAGTGAATCGTGGATCTCTGTCTGATACGAGTTCACGGGGCAACCCATGAAGTCGGAAGATGGTGTCAATAAAGACACAAGCACAGCCACTTGCCGTGATTGTCTCTGGTACAGCCACAAGGTGTACCATTTTGCTGAATCTGTCAACAAATACGAGAATACCCGTATTCCCGCGTGCGTCTTTGGGTAACCCGAAGACGAAATCCATTGAGATGGATTCCCAGCACTCAGCCGGAACCGGTAGAGGCTGTAAAGGTGCACGCAGTGAAGGACTTGACTTCACTCGTTGGCAGACTTCGCATGCGCGAACATACCTTCGCACAAACTGATACTGGCGGGGCCAGTAAAAGTCTCGACTTACCGTGAGATATGTTTTCTCTCGGCCACGATGTCCTCCTATAGGAGCATCGTGATACTCGAACATGATCCGCAAACGCAGATCAATATCATCTGGAATGACAACACGTGGTGTGTCACCAGAAACGGCTGTATAGTACAGTAAACCGTTACGAGTAGTGTATCGATCTGATGTAGATCGATACGCAGACGACAATCGTTTCAACGATTCTCGAGATGGTTGGGAGAGATGTGACAACAACTTCACTATCTCACCATCTTGGGCGTATGCCCGCCTCACATCATCATACAACGTTGTAGATGGAACTGAGGACGTCATAACCGCAACAGTGACTGTCTCACTGTTGGGTTACGCGACTGTTTCAAAGTCGGGACGACGTGAGAGTGCATCAGCGACGACATTAAGTCGTCCTGGTTTGTACTCGACCGTAAAGTTGTATTCTGCAAAGAATGACAACCACCGCGCCATTCGTTGTGAAAGGTGCGGGCTGTTCACTGCCGTGCGTAAGGACGCATGGTCAGTGTAAACAACGAAGGGTCTATCTCCTAATAGATAGACTCTGAACTTCGCGAGTGCATACTTCATGGCAAGGAGTTCCTTGTCATGCACTGGATAGTTCCGCTCAGCTGGTTGCAGCTGACGCGACTGATAGCAGACGACGCGTTCAACGCCTTCAAGGTCGTACTGCATTAATGCACAGCCGATTGCGAAATCGCTGGCATCACAGACCACATGAAATGGCCTGTCCTGATCGGCTATTGCTAGGACTGGGGATTGTATCAAGCTCTGCTTGATACCCTCAAAGAGCGTTGACATTCAGCGTTCCATAACCACCTCTCGTTCTTTTTCAACAAACGAGAGAGGTGTACAGTCATCTCGGCGTAATTGCGTGAATACTTATGCAAATACGCCGCTAGCCCAAGGAATTTTCGAAGACCTTTGACATCGACCGGCACGGGCCAGTCGGTGATCGCCTTGATCTTTTCGGGATCAGGACGTACACCGTTCTTACCAACGATGCACCCAAGAAGTGGTATTTCGCTTGCTGCAAATATACACTTCTTGAGGTTTGCATACAATTGATGCTTTCGCATGATTGTAAGAACTTGTCGGACGTGGTACTTGTGAACCTCAACGTCCGACTTTCCATCCATAGCTCGACTATGGATGAATACGTCATCGAAATAACTCGGCGCGAATTCTCGTACTGGCCTCAACAGATGTGATACACACCTGTTGAACGTGGCAGGGGCATTACTGAGCCCTTGTGGCATTACTAGCCATTCCCAGAGCATGCCGCTAGGCGTGCTAACTGCGGTATAGGGTATATCCCGTTCCCGCATTAGGATTTGATAGAAGCCATCCATCAAATCCATGGACGAAAAGATGGTACTCTTTGACATACCATCAATGATTACGTCCTTCCTCGGCATCGGCGTCTGAGCCGGTACCGTTGCAGCGTTCAATTTGTTAAACGCGTGCACTATCCGCCACCCTCCTGTTGCTTTTCGCACACAGAAGGTCGGAGAGCTATGTGGGGAAGTTGATTCCCTCACATGGCCCGCTGCTAAACGATCGGCAAAGAACTTGTCGATCGCAAGTACTTGTTCACGAGGCAGTGGCCACTGCTTCATGACACAGTACTTCGAGCCTGGTTTAAGCTCGACTTCGTGTCGAATACCTTTATCCTTCGGTAATTCGCACGGAACAGTTTCAGGGAATACATCCTTGAATTCAACCAAATCTTCATAGAGAGGATTTTCCTTGAGCGATTCCCATGATTGGGACTCATATCGCTCAATTCGTGTCTTTCATCTAGGACACTCTCGTCCATAGATGAACTACTGAGAACTCTCTCGTTCTCAGTAAACACTGTTGCTGACCTTATGTCGGTTACATACTCGTCTTCAGCGACGAGTATGCAGATCTGCTTGACTTTGCCACTACGCAGATCACGCAAGAACCTTTTATGTTCGAGCGTTAGCAACTGAGTGATCTCCGAAGTTAACTTCGGAGGCGCAATCAGATCAAGTGTATAAGCGCCTACACATGATCCGTTATTGACTATGACATTCAATGTCTCTGTCATTTCCTGGGGACTTATTCCCTCAGGCTTCGAAGGACTTATTCCTTCGGCTTCCCGGGGACTTATTCCCGCGGGTTTCGGGGAACTTATTTCCGCCGTATTTGTAATCTTGGGACTTATTCCCTTTACTTCCTCTAGCTGGGGTTGCGCAACCACAGCGAGATCCCCTACGAAAGACTCTCCAGTCGATCTAGGATTATCGTTTCGCTTAACCTGAGCGATCGATTGTTTCTCTTCTAGATGTTCCCCTCTAGGGATACATCTTTGTCCCAGTCCACCCGACTTATTCGAGTGGTGGACCTTCAGCGCAGCCTGTGTTTCCTCACAGCCGCCGGAACTTTGCTCCGAAGTGTAACCGTTTGGTACACTAAGGTTTTGTGCAGTCGTACTAACGACCGTACCACAAGTGAGGCCATCGCACTCACTCGTAGTACATCCACACGCTTGTGGACTCTCCAAAACGTTCATCAGATGGCCATCTGATGAACAAGCGGCAGGCATCGTTACTGTCCGATGTTGCCAGTTTACCCGTGGTTCGTACCTTCTGAGCCACGGTATTCCAAGGATGACATCAAATTTGTCATCCAAATCCAATACGATAAAGTCATCGTCGTATTGGGTATCTTCTAGCGTATAGTGAATCTTCACTATACGCTTCATATTGATTACGGATGCGCCTGTCGCAAGACGTACCGTCATCCTCGTAGGAGGTGTGTCACATTCACTGAATTTAAAGTGACCATCTTCTAGCGATTGGCGTCGCACAAAATTGTTGGACGCCCCACAATCGACTAGAGCTCGAAGGGACAACTTATTCGTCACTTCGAGTTTCAAGGTAATGAGTGAGATCTCATTACCTAGAGCAGCAACGCACAATGTCTGTGTGTTGGGAGCAACCTTCATCAAGAGGCCTACAAATTCTCTTGACGTTGCTGGATCAGTAGGGTGCTCCGCACCTACTGATCCTGTCCGTTTTTTGACGGTCCATCCCGTTGTTGCGTCTTTGCACCAACTGCGGACCCTCGTCCCTGCCCCTTTCTCATGGGTGGACGGTCACTACGCCCAGTGTCGCGAGACACTGGACGAGGAGCACTACACTCGTAAGCGTAGTGTCCTGTCTTTTGACATCTGTTGCATCTCTGCAACTTCTTGTAGCCTGTAGAGCGAGCCTTCTCGCTCTCTGCATAACAGAGTTCCATCGGCTCTGGACCTCCGTTGTCATATCGTCTCGGTTGACGATATGATGTCGAACTGGCGCGAGCCTGTCTCAGACTGAAGTCTTCCTGCTCCGCAATTGAAATGGCTTGTTCTAGTGAATCTAGTTCAAGCCGGAACAGGTGAGTCTTGACGGGACCATCCGCAAGACCCTGCATGAACACCGAAACCAACGTGTGTTCATCCACCGGATTGGAACTTATACAACTCGTGAGATGTCGTATATGTTGAGCGTAAGCGTGCACATCACGCTTACCCTGCTTGAGCTTCAAGAGTTCGGTTCGAGCTCTGAACTCAGCTCTAGGCGGTTCAAACGTTTGTCTGAGCCGCGACTTGAAGACTTCCAACGACCCAAACGCATATGGGTCGTGCAGCTTGAGCCCCAGTGCCCAAGTCTTGGCACGTCCTGCCAGATTTGACTGGGCAAATGCAACTTGCATATCCCCGTCGTCGATGCGACGCGCCCTTATGGCGTCATCAATTCGACGAACCATCTCAGAAGGGAGTCTTCTTCGACCCCCTATACTTTGAGATGTCAATCTTCAAAGTCTCGGGCCGACGCGAGTGCATCGACCCGCCAGCAGCAGCCTGCTGCTGTCTCAACAGTTCAAACTGTTGAGCACCTTGTTCTCTCAACAACTCTGCTTGTTGAGAACCTTGATTGGTGAAGCAAGGCTACTTTCTCGCGTTCTGCGTCAAGTTCATTTTGAATGAACTTGGCGATAGTAGCATGTTGGGCATCTCTATTGAGAGCCTCTAGCATGACGCTAACAGCATGGATGCCCATGGTCGAACCCATTCGTTCAACCGCATCCCATTCGACATCGCTCAAATGGGAGTAGCCGTCACGCGTAGCGTGAAAGCTTTGGTCATCTTCATCATCCAACATATTCATGTTGGATGTGAACGCAGTCCTTGGACGGACTACGAAGTGCTACCAGGTGTAACGGGGCACCCTGAAGCTTGTACTGGTGACAGTACAAGCTACTTATTCTGATAACAGAATAAGGCGGTGCCTCATAACTTCACGTACACTCGTACGTGCAGAGGAAGACAGTAAGAAGAAGCGAGTACTTGGTTAGAGTAAAAAGTAGAACTGTATTTATAATAGTTAATGTCTGCAATAAATCACTATTTATCTTCATCTAACTATGTCTAAATACAAATGTTAAATCAGTTATCTGCTCACCACTCATTGCGTGCGTCTGTCGTGGCGCGTCTTCGTTGGTTGATATAATGGCCTATATCAACCAATTAGGA